TAAATTTTTTTTTCATCTTTTTGTCTTACGATCCCTCATAAGTTTACACTATTAGCTATTGTAAATTGTTTTACAATTTGAAAATCGTTTTTCATATTCCTCCCAGGGCCGGATTTACCCTCTTGCCTCCCATGGACCGCCTGTACTTTGCCGCCCCATCTCATCCGTTTTTAAACATCCATAGAAACCATCAGGCGAACGTGCCGGAGGAGGAGGGGTACATAAGACGCGTTTACTCGCTTTTGGCACATTTTTTGTGAAAGCCCTGTCAACACTAGCAAAAGTTCACGGAACTTTGCTCGAAAATTAAGTTCCGTAGACCTATCTCTGTGTGGACGATGCCCTTTCATTTATAAGAAAAGAACGAAAATATTATGAATAAGAATAAACATGAGTGTGGTCTAATGATCTTAATTTCCATCACCGCGCCAACCGCTCTGTGTTTCGCGCAATGCGTGAAGTATCCCTACAGTCTTGTAGGCGCTATGCGTTTCTCGCTGACCGCTGCTGACCAAGTGACCGCACTGTTTTTGACGCAATGCGTGAAGTATTCATGCAGTCTTGTAGGCACTATGAGTGTCACGCCAACCGCTGCTGACCGCACTACGTTTGACGCAATGCGTGAAGTATTCATGGAGTCTTCACAGAAAAAAATGGATGGTGCTGGCGACAGAACCTTTTGTTCATACGGCTCCCACAGTTTCTTTGTTACACTTACAGAACTTTCTGTCGTGGGAACAGAGTACTCTGTTCCCACGACAGAAGTTCTGTTCTCACAACAGAAAAGTTCTGTAAGTGTAACAAAGAAACTGTGGGAGCCGTATGAACAAAAGGTTCTGTCGTCAGCACCATCCTTTTTTTTCTGTGTTGTAGGCGCCAATATGTGTTTCATGCAGACTGGTGCCGGTGCGCCGATAGGGCTTCTCCTTTCTATCTCAAGTTCTCGCCATATTGGTCTCTGCGCCGTGCCGCTCCAGGCCAAATTGCGTGTTTGGTTTCTCTCTTAACTAGACTAATGAAAGGCGCTGTCTCTTGTATCACCGAAAGACGAACAAATTAGAAATTACAATAATTTAATTCTCAGGATATGAGAGATTTTTTCGCCTTTCCTCATTTGTGATTTTTTTTCTGAATCAGATTTTTTTCTTAATACCTACATTTGAAAAAATTACAACATTTGCCGCCATGGGCCGCAGCCCATGTGGCTACCCCCTTGATCCGGCCCTGGTTCCTCCATTCGTCCAATCATTAATACGTTAAACTCCTGCTATCCTATTATCCTCCGAGATAGTGATCTGTAGCAACGCTTTTCTGTAAGGCAGAATTTTTCATGGAAAACATGTTTTAAAGAAAACCTCAGGAGTTCTGAAAATACTTCAAAGAATGATGTTAATTCATTAACCTTTAAAAAAATAAAATAGGAGCGGAGATTTTCAGACACCGCAAACGAGATACGTGGTTTTGGAAATTAACCGTCGATATAAAATATTCGCTATAACAGAGAGGAAAAATTCATAAAAATTTCAAGAATTTCCCGAAGAAACCTGAAATGACAGTAGAAAGTTTGTACCGTCGTGGAGATACGCAGTTCCGCACTTTGACCATCAGAGAGTCAGGCTGATTCTAGCTTATGTCGCGCAGTGGATCGAGTCAATTTAGGAGAGGTCGGACAAAATTTGGAAACTTTAAACGCTTAAAACTCCGTTTATACAAAAATTTGAGGCTCCAACAGTGGTTCCATTGGTTTTCTCGTGAAACTTTCTTCCCACAGCACCCCTTGAAATTTAAAATGTGACGGAATAAACATCAAAATTTGCAGTTTCAGTCAAACATTTCATATCCGACCCCTCTCATTGACTCGATTCACTGTGCGTCGTCCAAAAAAAAAAGTTTCCCCGGCGATTCAGGCAACACCATCGTGAGACCTCTCTCGAGGCCGGGAGGGGAGGGGGGCGAGGGTCGGTGAATCAGAAGGCGCAGTGTTTGTCACCGAACGGAGAGTTGAATTTCAATTTTTAATGGAAATCAGCCGGGGAGACCGTAAGTTATTCCCTCCCCCGCCCGTATGGCTCCCGTCGAAGCTCCTATAAGCTGTGCAATCGTGCACTTTGCAGTCGCGGGGGAGGGGTGTGAACTGGGTGGAGGGGGCGGGGGCGGGAGGTGTTGAAACCGGCGATTTCAATAGTCTTAAAGCCGAGCAGCCCGGAAACGGCGAGAGCGAGAAATTGATTTCTCGGGGCCGCACCGAAATAGCAGTGGCGAAGCGCGAATGATCGATTATCGATATTTCCCCATTCGAAGCCATGGTGAAGAATCGATTGTTATGGTGCTCGTTGCGAACACCCTCTCTATCGATCCTTCTCCGTTGGTTTAAATGGCGGAGCAATCGATGTATCGCAACGCACGCCTCGCCACTGCGAAATAGTTCTATCGTATCCGAACAGCGCACCCTCGCGGGGAGAGTAATGGACGTTTCGTCCCTTGGAGGCTGCTCCTGGCTCAGAAAGGGTGACCAGAGGTGGGTTAGTGAGACCTCTTTAGACACTGGACTTTCTATAGACCCTGAATGGGTCGCTAAACCTTGCGCTCTTTATTTGATGTAGACTGATTTAGTGACTACGCCTTGGTTCAAATGCTAATAAACACATAAGCTTGTTTCTGATTTCCGCCCTTTGCGCCACGGTGGTAAAATGCGTCCAAGTGTTTATTACAATCGGAATTTTTCGTGTTTAATGAGCCTTTAAGGTGATTCGACGGATGCCATTTTTTGTGTCGGAGCGACGACGTGCGATACATCGCATCAATTCGTTCCATAATTTCAGCTACTTGCCACTTTTTTCGAATTTTAAGATCACACTTCTGTTGTCATAAATCTAAATAATTCATGTACCACAGACAAAGAAATTCAACGTATTAAAGGCAGGGTATTTTCAGAGGAAAAATATAGCATTCGAGTGCAGTTTCGATATCAGATAGAGCTAAAAGTGCAAGGGTGGAAAATCAGCAGTAATTAATTTTTTTTGGTAAACATACTTTATAATTTTCAGCGCTCAATTGATACCGAACGCCTGTTTTCAATCTATCACTCATTTACCATGAAAATACTGATGCCGCAGTCATTCAATAGTGCAATAGCTTATCAGAAATCAGTGGCAATTTTACAGTTCGCATCACTATTTTCTCTCAGTTTAAATCCATTAAAAACATCAATTTTAGGTGAGGAAATCAGCCCTTATCAAGAATCGATCGTTTTACATGCATTAAAATGGAGGAAAACAGTGTTGCCAATGCCAACTTTCAAGAGTTGCCATTGTCAACAATGCAACGAGTGCCTCAGATTTTGAGGAAAGAACAGCCCATAGTTTTATTTTTAATTATTTTCCTTATCATAACCGTGAAAAATATAAGTAACTTGTCTAAAATGTATTTCGCTAAAGATAGTGTACTTCTCGCAAATTTGATTACTCAATTTTAATCAGCGTACCTTTTAAATCAGATTACCGCTCATTCTTTCTCATGTTGACCGGGATTCGTAATTACGCACAGACGTTCGGGTTACATACATAACCTAAGTCACGTGCATCGATGGCCAACGTGCGAATCTACATATCTCCGTTTAGCACGTTGCAGATTTTGTTTTGATTTCGACTTAATTTTTCTCCGGAGAACTAATGATCGCATTTTCTTGAAACCTCTCCAGGGCCGGATTTAGGGGCCGCGGCCCATGGCGGCAAATAAATGTAGGTATAAAAAAAAAAAAAAAATCGGATGCAGAAAAAAATTACAAACGAGGAAAGGCGACAAAATCTCTCATTTCCTGAGAGTATAGTAATTTCTAATTTTGTCGTATTTTGGTGATACGAGATACAACACCTTTAATTAGTCGAGTTAAGAGAAAAATCAAACACGCAATTTGGCCTGGAGCGGCGCAGCGCAGAGAGCAATGATGACAAAGGTCTTGAGATTAAAAGGAGAAGCCCTCGGCGCAGCGGTCGGCATGTAACACATATTAGCGCCTACATAACTGCATGAATACTTCACGCATTGCGTCGAACACAACAGTGCGATCAACAGCGGTCGACGTGAAACGCATAGCGCCTACAAGACTGTAGGAATACATCATGCATTGCGCCAAACACACAGTGCGGTCAGCGCGACACGGCGCTGCGGCGGCGACGGAAGTTAAGATCATTAACCACATTTATGTTTGTTCTTGTATAATTTTTTCGTTTATTTCATATAAATATAAGGCCTTGTCCATACAGAGACAGGTTTACGGAACTTACTTTCGCGCGAAGTTTCGTGAATTTTTGGTAGTAGTTTTGACAGGGCATTCGCAAAAAAGGTGTCCAACACGAGTAAACACGTCTTATGCACCCCTCCCGTGTTCGTTTTTATTGGTGTTCCAAAACGAATAAGACGGAGGCGGCAAAAGACAAGCGGCCAATAGGCGGCAAGTAGGTAAATCCGGCTCTTTTCCTCTCTATTGGCAGAATATTATGCATAAATTTCACGCTTAAACGTAAGCTCTTTATTTACTTTTAGATTCTCATATTTATTGTGATCTTCAGTCGAAGAGTTTATTAACTTTTATGTTTATAACATTAAACAAATTAGAAAAATTGTATTTATTTCTCTCTTCTTTTTTATTCTGTTCATTAATATTTTGGGTTCAATCCCATGTGTTCTTTCTTGTTCCGGTCATGTTGTCTGGGGTTTCCGATCTGATTATCCTTTATATTTTTATCCTAGAAGCTTGTTTTTCCGGGAAAAATAAAATAGCCGCGGTAATTTTGAGACAACGCAATGAAGAAACGTGGTTCCGCACTTTGCCCATCGATAGGTAAAAAATGCACGCTCTAGTCCATGTATTTCTTTCGTCTCACACCGGTATTACTCATCTGAGCCTGCTGTTCCCTAGGTAATACAATCGTATTGCCGGATAATTCATGATGCAATTAGAGGATTGACTGGATGGTGTTTTGTTCTTTGTTTTTCAGGGAGGATGCGCGGTTGACGAGCGAAGCGGCGCGCGATGGGGCGGGGGCAGAGCCCCATGGAATTCGGGTAGGGGCCCCCCGCCGCCTTCACTCCCACTCCACTACTATGGACTCCTCGCACAGACCTCTCGCCTTCAATAAGGTAATTTTTCCCCTCCCTCCAATCAACTGCTTCCCGCCTTTTCTGTCCTCTAAAGAAAAAACCGCGTAAGCCTAATGGAAGTTTTGCTCTAATACGCGGCCCTCATCCTACATGGCACAATACTGCCGTGATAAGGAAGAACACCGCACGGTGGATCCAGTCAATAGGAGAGGTCGGACAAAATTTGGAAAATTTGAACGCTTATAACTCCGTTTATACAAAAATTTGAGATTCCTAAAGTGGTTCCAGTGGTTCCTCCTGAAATTTTCCTCCAGAGGCCCCCCTCGAAATTTAAAATTTGGCGAAATAAATATCTAAATGTGCAGTTCCAGTCAAAAATTTCATGTCCGACCACTCTAATTGACTCGATCCACCGTGCGCCGTATGAATATTCGAGAGTTGCCCAATTTCTCCGAATAAAACATGTATTTTCGAGGAAAGTTATGCAAATTTTCCCGTAAGATTTTTGGATTTTTTGGATCAAGTTGCGAACAAAATTATCTGAAAAATGCGGGAAAAAATATTCAACATTTTTTCAGTAAATTCGGTTTTTAGTAAAGGCGATCCGGCAACGTCTAAGGGTTCATACTGCGTTTTTTTAGGCACTGCAGAATAGGATGGCTCATATTTGTCAGTGCCGGAATTTCTCTGGTCCTTTCCCCCAAAAACGTTTAATTTAATCGACAAAGATCCTCTGCCAAAATGGACAGCGTTCAGCAGAAAGGAACCATGCCGCATGCTTCCAGGACTTTATGTCTACCTATACCTTTCGTCCATTAAATAAATGTCCACCGCTCTTTATGTCCATTCAACGTTAAGTCCAGTCTTTATTAAGTCCGCATGATTTAATGTCCAACCATGAATATGTTCAAAATTGTCCAAATTGTGGACATGTTATGTCCACATTTTTTTCTTCTCATTTAAATGACAGGAACCACCTCAAAAATAAATGCATACTACTACTACCTTCATTCTTAAAAACATTTCATTCATGAATCAAGTCATGAAAGTTGATGGGAACCAAAGCGGGAACCTAGGAAACGCTCCAATGCCAAATTAAACATTTTTCAGTAACAGATGCTGTCAGAATTGAAAGTCCTCTTTAACTAGATAATTCGTGCGTCTTCAATCTTGTAGGATACTGTGCAACGCCTCTGAAGCGAAATAGTTGCTTTAAGCGTTGCGGCGCGGCAGGCAACCACCGTGACACGCGCGTAGGCGCCTACAAACCTAAAAAGATACTTCACGCGTTGCGCAATGCGTGAAGTATCCCGTTAGGTTCGTAGGCGACAGTGCGCGTTCTGCGCTGCTAACACGCCGCTCCGCTCTGTGTTAGGTTCTAATATTTAGACTCGCGGAGTCAGCGTTTTTCAGCTCATGATTTTGGAATGTTTGCACTCTCTGCATTGATTTTTCCCTTTTAAACTGATGAAAAAGAAATACGTACAAATGGAAAATATAATGTGTTTTTTTGTAAATATAATAGTGGTTCCGTGTCAAAAATGATTTCCAAAGCATTATTCAAATTTATTCTTTTATGTTTTGGGCTTTTACTGTGCTGCAGCGTGGTGTAAGCTCAACTAAACGCTCAAAATTGGACGTATTGACTCAAGAAGGTCGATGTACAAATAAGTTAAAAAAAAAAAAAAAAAAAAAAAAAAAAAAAATGCGTGCTTCTTAGTTTTTTTCCTCTTTAATTAATAGTTGTATAGTTTCTTTCATCACAACTACGGCTCATTGAGATTCATATCGATGCCATTGCTTGGAAAAGGTTTTACAAATATTTACCACGTTTTAAAAATGTAAATGTTTTTAAAATGAAGTTATCAATTTCATTAAAAAAAAGAATGTACATTTAAGGCATATTTTATATCGGAAATTTCAAGGATGGAAATGAAAACCAAGTATTTACCAAAGACATTTTGAAAAGATGAATCAAAAGAAGAAATTAACATTTTATTTAAAATATGAGTTACGATAACAACACCTCATTCTCTCTTAATTTTCTCATTTCGATATTGTCAATATAATTTTACACACGGACTAAAATATGACGCTTGAATTTGATTTTTGTGGACTTAACTTAGAGGACGTTTAAGTAATAGACTTAACAATAGTGTGGGCTTTAGAACTGTGGACGTAAAAACTGTGGATGTAAAAACTGTGGACGAAAAGTCTGTGGACGTAAAAAAAGTGGACATACAGTCCGTGTACCAGCCGCATCACCTATTGTCAAATTGAACTGTGCAATTTAATTTTTTACAAGAGAATGCATTTGCGGATTCTCTTGAAAATTTTAGGGAATTTGCTTCGCATTATGCAGGAAATTCACTGTTTGCACAAAAATCCGCACAACCGTTTCAATGTAAAAAATAAACTGCCCAATTAAATTTGTCAATAGTTGATGTGGCTTGGTTCCTATCTGCTTGACGCGGTCCAAATGAATGAAGCAGTCAGCTTGAGCTTAGCTCACCTATTTTTTGTTGTCAAATCCACATATCGATGTTGAGACTGCAGAAATGCGAATATTGGTTTGCGGCGTTGCAGACTTCCTGTCATACTTCATTTTGTACATGGAAAACCACTTAACTTTTATCTTTTAAAAACCTCTGAAATTTTCGCCTCCATCAGAAAAATATTCATTGAAAATTTCTAGCCGTGATGTTGGTTCGGGCTCCTTTTAAAATATAAAATATGGAGCGGAGATTTTGAAAAACTGCAACCGAGATACGTATTTTTGCAGTTTTACCATCGATATGACCTAAATTAAATTAAAACTAAAAAAAAAACTGAACGTAACTGAACGTAAATTATACTGATTTCCCTGAAAAATAATGTTTTCCACCGTAAAAATACATATAAAGAGGACTTACTGCCCAAGTAGCACAGATTGCAAAAAGTAGCAATTGCACAGTAAAAATATTGCAATTTCACTGAGTGTTGTGTATGTTGCCTAACTCCTATTTAAAGGGGCCCCGTTTACTGAAACTTACTGCAATAAAATTAAAATAAGTTCAATTTTTCATTGCATGGCATATTTGCCTATCTTTCTGACACATGCAGCTCATTTTTTTGATTGTTTAAAATCGGCATAAATCGACTAAATTTAATGATGTAAAAATGTTGCAATTTAATGGTAAAAAAAATTACAATTTTATTGAAATCAACTTGCAATTTAATTTCAATATTTTCATTGCACTGTGCTATTTAGGTATGAGATACTTACAAGTTGAGATAATAACCTGAGTTGATCACCTGCGGCAATAGGTATTACCTTACATTTCACGTACATTTCAAAAGGTGTATGCAATACAGGAATACATTTAGATTGCATTTAGCAGAAGGAAATCAACGAATTATAGTGTTGTAAAAATCGCGCATCTTCATTTTTATCTAAGAAAAATGCCTAGATTAGCAGCTAGTTTATAATTTCCTTCTAAATACTTGTTGATTTGAAAGGAATACAATGTCCTGCATTATCTGTTCAATGCTATTCATTCGTCCCAGAAGATAAAGCGCTGAATAATTCTAATTCATTGTGGTTTCAGATGGAAGCTCTTGTTCAAGAAATGCAAGATATTGAAAACGGAGTGCCTGTGCGGAGTCAAAAGCTGTTCCTTACTTCCATACCCTCAGCCTTCATGGGTAAGTATTAATAGAAGTGCTATCGATTCCCAGGAATATACTTCCTTGTCCGCTCTCCTGTCAATCGATTAACGTGTCATGAACAGGATAGACAGCAGTGGCGGCTCAAAAAATCCTTCAGACCCGCCTCGGCCGCAGGTCGCCAGATATACGACTCTCGAAATGTCAGTAACGCTAAGATTCGTTAATTTGAATGCGGGGCAATCGGTTTTCCAAAAGCGATCATTTTGATACGATAATGATATCAAGTTGTTCCCATGAATCAGTTGCCAAGGGAATGAAAACCTTGAAACAAATGCGTGATAATGGGTCAGCTGCACTGGTCAAAGAACCGTTCTTTAATGCTTGGTCCTTGTAGATTAGCCAAAAATAATAAGATCCGACCAAACAGCAACTTTCTACGTCCAATATTAACCGAGATATCGCCCTTTCATAGATTCGATTTATGACGTCATCCACCGCGGTGGTGACACCCTTGATTTCTTCCACCTCGCTTTCATCCGAGTTACACGTTGAGTAACCAGTGCAAATGCGTGTTTCCTGGCTGATGAAAGCAAATTGGAGGAAACCAAGGGTGTCAGTGCCCTTGTGGATGACGTCATAAAAATAATTTTTCAAAGAGCAATATTGCGGTTGATATTCAACGCAGAAAATTTCTGTTTGGACAGATCTTCTTATTATTAACTCGAGGTGGGATGGGATGGGATTTTCGAATAGATAACTATTTGCGCTCCTCTGTATGTTAGTTGTCTCTGCGGTGGAATTGAAGGCGTATCTACTCCTTGGACATTGGCCCCATCGAAGTTTGTGGAGGGAAATATATGCGTGTTTTGAACAGCCCTGGTAAAAATTGGCAGTAGAATCTGTGTTCCAATATACCATAGACCTACAGCCGGCTGTAAGATTTCCAATAGCTTTTATAGCCGGCTACACAATTTCTTATAGCCTTTTATAGCAAATGGCGATTAAGCAACAACCAGGCGATAAAGTGTATGCTAAACGTTACTAATTACGGATGCTAGGACTTAGTGAGTTTTTCGAATACTGCTCTCTTTTTGGGCCGTAGTATCTTGATTTATTTTGCGAGGAAAGCTCCGTACTTTTGATGGATGCCTGCCATTACTAATATATTAGAGCGCCTTCAGTTTCGTATGATACTGTGCAATACCTCTGGTGTGAAATAGTTGCTTCAAGCGCCGTGGCAGGCGGGCAGCCAGCACAAAGCACACATTGGCGCCTACAAACCTAACAGGGATACTTCACGCGTTGCGCAATGCGTGAAGTATCCCTGTTAGGTTTGTAGGCGCCGCAGTGCGTCGCCACTCCACTTTGTGTTAGGCTCTAGTATTTAATCTGACGGAGTCAGCGTTATTCAACTCATGATTTTGAAATGTTTTCACATCCTGTATGGATTATTCTCATTTTAATTGATGAAAAAAAATATTTATTAAAGGAAAATATAATGTGTGTTTTGTAAATATTAAGGTGGTGCCGTATCAAACTTAATTATTTCCAAAGCACACGAATTTCTACACAATTTCTTATAGCCTTTTATAATCGATGGCGAAAAAGCACCAGCCAGGCGATAAAGTGTAAAGCCCGGCGATAGGAACTATAGCCCGGCCGCATAATTTTTTATCGCTTCGTATAGTCCGGCCATATGATTTTCTCCGCATTCTACAGCCAGCTATATGATTTTCTGTAGCCTTCTTTAGCCAGCTATAAGAATTCCTATGGTATTTTGAAATGCAGCTCTTATCGCCAATTTTTACCAGAGAGGTAGCTTTTCGCGCTCCACGGTGTGTTTGTTGCCTACGCAGCAAAATCGAAGGCGAACTTTAATATGATCGAACTTTTCCTTCCTAATCCGTCACTCCCCTCACGAAAGAACGTAACTGCATTTCAATGTTGCCAAATTCCCTCCAGCAAATTGCATTTTTACAAGGATTAAATTGGGCTTTTTTAACAGATACTTTCATTAGTTTTTCTTCTACACCGATGCAAAAACCAGAAAAATTTTGGTCACAAATTGCGGAGGCTCATTTTTGTGAAAAATTGAATTGTTTGAGTCCCTTTGGAACCTCGGAATGGAGATAGGCTCCTTCATTGGGGAACGAAGAATCGAGTGACGTATCATTCTCATCAGGAGTGATGTCATCCTTATTTCTTCCGATTAGCCCGAGTTTTTCCGTCCTCTAGCACCCGTTGATGAGGTATGCTCATGAGTGTTTTCCTACCCTCCCTCTCACTCCATGCGCTCCTTTGTGCCCATGAGAAAATACTGATCATTGTTCCACTACTCTCAACAATACCAGTCGCTCTCTCAAGTGTCCTCCATGTACCTATTCAGCTTTCGTAATCCATCTCTGCCAACCTCTACATCAAACCTCGAGCACATATGAGAAGTTCAAAGAAATATAAAGCTAGTTAACAACACCGCGAGAAGCCTTTGATGAGCCCATATTTTTGTCCTCGAATTTCAAAAGGACAATCAGGATTGAGCCCCCCTCCCCCCGGATCGCATAAGATCGCATAAGATCGCATCGATAAAGAACGAGATAGGATTATCGGTGTGCCGTTTCTTTTCTCCGTCTAGGAAAAAACCAAGGAAATTCTGATAAGGAAATATTTGAAAAACGGCCCGCCTCTCCGAGTTGCATTTTTCAACGGAAAAATCGCGATATTTTGAAATTAGGTTGCGATTTTCTTTTAAGATTTTCGCTAGGATCATCAACATCTCAGCGATTATCCTCGATCTCGTCGCAATTGTATCCCTATAAAACCGTGTTTGATAAAATCGAAATTCTATTTCAATTTATCACAATTTTTGTTCGATAATATTGCGCTACATCGCCATCGATAAAATCGTCATTTTGTTGCAAATTTATGCGATGAAATCGCGATTTATCGCAATTTTTTATCCTATAATATTGCAATAAATCCTCGTCGATAAAATAGCGATAAATTCTCCGATCAAATCGCAACTTATCGCGATCACTATTACTTGGGTCTTTTTATTCATCAGTTCTTCATCATTCCTTGTAAATGTGCCCAGTAAAATCCAAAAATTTTGAGAGATGTTTTGAAAATATCGTAAATTTGCAATTACTAGAGCACTTAATACGTCAGAATGCATAATAGGCCTTTTTTAGCGGTCGATTGGTCCTTAAATATGTGCATATCTGTTGATATACGTGTCAGTGTGATTAGATCCAACTGCTACGTAACAGTTCGAAGACTTTTTCTCCATGATGATTTGCTGCGACTGTAACGTCCATACCTGTTTTTTTCTACCATGTGAATTTCTGATTGCATCCTGATTGGTCTAATTCAAGGTAGGTGTCAAAGGCATTAGATTCATTTGGACTGTATTTTGCAATTTGGAACTATACATTCTGGCTCTTCTGGAAAAACACTTATGTGCATAGGGAAACTAATGGCACATACATTGTTTTTAAACCGGGCTAGAATTTTTAGTTCCAAATTGCAAAATGTAGTCCATTTGTTCCTACCCCAAGTCGCCGTGGAAATTTACATGGTAAAAGAATAAACTTACCAGCTGCAGCAGAGCATCATGGTCCTCGAGTTGTGTCGTAGGATTTCCTCGCACCAACAAATTGATAGGGCTCATGTACACAAACTTTGAGTCAGTCCCTTACCATACCAACACATTGACAAAGCTCCTGTGTACACAAAGCCTTCTATGCAGACCTGTGACGTACAGTGGCGTGGCGTGAATGATCGACCATCGATATTCCTCCATTTGCTCGTATGGTAAAAGATCGATTATTAAGTTGTTCGCTGCGAACACCCTGTTTATCGATCCTTTTCCATAGGTTTGAATGACACATCAATCGATGTATCGCAAAGCACGCCTCGCGACTGGTGACGTACGAGACGGTTCAATGTCCATACCTGTTTTCCTTCTGCCAGTGGCGTGGCGTGCTTTACGATTTATCGATTGATCTGTCATTTAAATCTATGGAAAAGGATCGATTATCAGGGTGTTCGCAGCGAACACCTTAGTAATCGATTCTTTACCATAGCTTTAAATGGCGAGATATCGATAATCAATTATTCACGCCACGCCTCTGCATACCTGTTTTCCTTCTACCATAGGAAATTCCAACACATTTCGGCAAAAGGCAAGAGAGCGGTAAAAAACTTGTGCACGCTGTGTAATCTCCATATGTATGCCAGCGTGGCAGTGTTTGGAGGGGAGCAGCGAACCACGGAGGGGGCTCAGGGGGAGGAGCCCCGCCGAGCAGGGGTAGCGAGAGAGGAGGGGTGCACCAGTGAGCACATGCGCCCCACAACGTGAACGTAGGTCGTAGCACCCCCGCATTGGTGCCATCTTAACATCTTAAAAAGATTTCGCTCTCGGAGCTATTACGATCTTTCGCTTGGGGTAGATCAGTTTTCTTGAGAGGCTCACTAACAGCCCTCACAATCGTTTTTCTGAGATAGGAATATGGAGACGCTCCACACTCCGCTATTTGGCAAGCGCCGCAGAGCCTTCATATTTTGAACATGCAACATGCATAACGGTGGCGATCCTTGAAAGTTGGCAATGCTCGGCTTCGCCAATTTAAGTGTGAGTAAAATAATCGTTGTACATATCGATTTTAGGTGAGGCAGGCTTCCTCATCAAGAATCGATTATTTACAATAGAGTTAAATGAAGGAAAAACGGCGTTGCCAATTGGGGAGGATTGCCACTGGTGCATAATTGAATTGCATTTTGCAAAAAGGAACCAAGAGCATTTCAATGTAGCTAGGATTGTGCAACTTACATTATTTGCAAAAAATTACAGAAATCACGCAAAAAAATACGTTTTCAAAGGTAATTTTCGTCTCGAATTTATAATTTATCAGAAGTAAAGATGAAATCTGTTTCGAGGATAGGTTTACATTTGCAAGGTAAAAAAAGTTGCACAATCTTAGCAACATTGGAATACTCTTGGTTTCTTTTTGCAAAATGCAATCAAATTATGAAAGTGGAATAGTTGCATTTTGGTAAGCGTTATCATGACTGATTGATCGGTTGACGTGACATTGCAAGGAACGTTCCGACTGGCTTTTTACCAAAAACTACGGAATTTTTTTAATAATGATTAGGAAATTCATCGAAAAAGGGTGTGACTGGAATGGATTGAAGAAAAAAAATTGAGGTCAAAGAAACATAGGAGGGAGAGTATTTATACACAGGGCACAGAAACCAAATTTTAGCTCAGCTATCCGAAATTATTAGCTAAACGATACTTAAATTATGATCGAAAATATTGATTACCTACGTGCTACTTCTTGAAATTGATAGACAAAGCGATAAACAAAGAAGACAAGGAGGGAGTGGAGCTATCCTATTGGTTGAAACGGGTGGTTGTAATAGACTATTAGGGGGAAATGATGGACTAACTTTAGGGTCTCTCGTGGATTTCCGTTCGTTCGTCTATTGCACACCTCATTTGTTCATTGCAGCCACCCGTTTCCACCAATAAGATTGCTCCATTTTCCCCCAAGTATCCTTTGTCTGTAGATTTTGTCAGGTCCCATAATCAGCCCCCTAAGTCGAAACAATTGTGTGCTCAAATGATCCGAAGTTTAGTATCTGAGGTTTTTTTCCCAATAAACAAACTTGAAGTTTTCTCCTCTCAGTGGCGTGCTTTGCGATATAGCGATTGATCCGTCATCTAAACATATGGACAAGGATCGATAATCAGGGTGTTCGCAGCGAGCACCTTCATAATCGATTATTTACCACTGCCTCAAATGGGGAAATACCGATCATTCACGCCCATTGCCTGCGGATAGTTGATATCAGATCACTACACTTTCAGTGTGAGAAAGGCTATATGCCAATTCGAAATTACAACTCGAAATCGATTGAGAATGTCGCTAAGCAGCTTCAAAACAAGCACTCTAGTAGCGCGCTCTCCGAAAACATAAATCTAAACAATTTTGTGGCGAACTGACAGAAGCGCTCTCTATAATTGATTTTATTTTCATAGGTTCATTCATTCAATTTCCATACTCGCTTCCTGAAAGCAGATGTCTCCCGCTGGAAAATGTCAGCGATTGAGTTATGAACTCGGCAAAAATGGATTAGGCGGGCGGGGCAGTGCGGGAGGGGAGGGTGTTG